GGAAAGCATAAGGATATTCAATGTGTTACATTCCCGGAGTAGACTCAGTGATTGACGCCACGTCTGCTTGTTTCTTTCCTTACCCAGACTTGGATGGCAGTGTAAGTTTTAAGTGTCAATCTAAAAATTCTGGAGTAATGACTTTACCTACGGATCAAAGCTTTATTCAAGGGACGAATCTCGTCACTAGTACCTTAAATGGAAGACCATGCACTCTATTTACTCCTCCTAGAGTACTTGCTTCTATTCATTCCGCTTTCCATATGGCTCGGGCTATTGATCCAGAGGCAAAGCGTTCTACACATCCGCCTCTTGAAACATACGTCTATTAGGTATGAGGAAGTATCGAGGAAGTTGATCAATGGATCGAGGCAGCTCGAGAGCTTCGGAGTAAAGGAAGAGATGTGACATAATGGAAGGTCATGTTGGTGGAATTTGAAGCGGTTCGTGTGATAATCAATGAATTGAAAGCGATGTTGAGTGAGCTGTATGAAGCAAACATTTATGACGAGTCTCGTACATAGAAGACCAAGGTATGACAGGTCGAAAAGGGAGCAAAAATAGTGGCTGCATCACCTGGGGTATGAATGTCGACTAGAGTCAGCTATCATTCGGCTCATAGATTTGCAGCTATATTCGCTAGTCATGCCCGACTTTAGCAAAAATTCTGTTCGGTGATTAATTGAGGAGTGGTGATGAACCAAGTCTTTACATCTTTTCATCGCGATTGAAATTCGAAGCCAACTTGCACTTTTCAGTGATATAAGTATCGGCCCATTTTCTTTCCCGCTTCGTGTGAAAAAACCTATAAGTCCTCAGGTCTGGCCATCAATTTGGGTCTAAGACGCCTTCATCAACGGACCCAACTCGATGCCCCAGCACACCCTACACTGGCACCAAGAACTATTTGCTGTTTAACCTCTTCTAGACACCGAAGGTTTTGGTTAACCCAAATTGCATTGATTATGCAACCTAAAGAGTCCGAACTGAATCCAGTTAAACACAGCTCGAGAGAAAATCGTCGAAATTGATCAATAAATACAAGCGGCGAATGATCTTGAGGCGGAAAGAAGACCTGTGGCGGATTACAGAATCTCTTTTTACTTGACTCGTAGTGTAAGACTCGTCCATTCCACTGCTATTAGGTCAAAGGCATTGTGAATTAGACTTGATGGCCTGGTTCATCTGTGAGAGTATAGATCTCGGGGTGTCTGAAAATACAGGACTGGATTAATTAGCGCAGCTGGAAAATTTCTAGATGATATTAATACATGCTTGTGCGCTACCTACAGTTCATGATACCCTAAAAATAGTAAATTATGATGTTAGATCAGTTTTGCCACAGGTGCTTGCGATCTCAAGAAGATATCAACCTGACCGACCTTTTGACATTGAGTCAAATTTCATAGATCCCAACAGTAGAAACCTGAGTTTTCGAGGGTGCGAACGAAATCGCCTCCAGCGCTGATTGAGTCACACTGAGCTAGAACTAGTGCTCCATGGCTCAACCTTGCGAAGAGGTGTAGAATAACAGTCCCTCTCAAAAGGGTCTAGATACTCATACAGAAGCATTATGGCAGGCAGATAATCTCGACTACTGCAAGATAAATATTGACGAGATATTCAACATCTCGCACTCGCCCTTGATCATTGGACAGAATAACCTATCTATGACCTTTGTTTGGAGTCTCGAGCAAATAATCTCGCACATAGCTGCCAGCCCGATATCTTTGTATCAAACGGGATGGTTGTGTCGTCAAGAAAAGCACCATCTTTATGAGATGTTCTTGTGAAGAAATCGCGCAACATTCCAAGAGTGACTTTAATTATTGCCACTTTGATACAAACTTCTCGGGACCAAATTAAACAAAATGCGAGAGAGGCATGGCATGATCGTTTCTATCAAAGATAAACAATGAATATTTTGTGCATTTTCCATGGTAACCACAAGCCTCAAGGATGAATAATGTCCGGTTTGAGAAATTATAGGAAGATAGGTCAGAGTGTCGAACAGAATTTGCCATGTGCAGAAAAAAGGCGAGAGGTAGCGATGCGTATCACTCATGGTTATGTAGAGTGTTGAAGTCGGATGGAGTAGCTACTTTTGACAATGGAGTTAGACAACCATGAAAACACAAGACAAACACGAGTTTATTTGGCGATTATCAATACGGGAATGTTCAGATGGAACTATTCGGCTGGTTGAGCTCGAAATAGTCAATCAGAAGAAGACAAACAGTAATGGAGTGTAGAGGAGAGTAAAAGTGTATTTGTGGGCAATGTTTGGTCATTCGAGGTATTCTTTGAATATGAACAGCTTTGCAAGTGATGATATTTAAGGATTAGGATTCCCAGCCAAAAACTCTTACTTCCCTTTTGCCAGCCCTCACTGGAGAATACATGAGAATAAAACGCTAGAAATGGCTGGCTTTGAAGATTTATCTAGTCTAGGGAAGCGAGCATTGGTTACAGAATGCGTGTAGGTTATTGATAAAACTATTCTTAAGGACCAACTACGTCAAGCTTTATTTGGCGTCAATCCAATCAGCGACCTCATACTCTCTCCCCTCGCCTGCATATATGTCCAAGCCATCATACTGTCCAGGTCTCCAGACTCTCATCACAGCTTTTCCATTTTCATTGATAAAGGCGCGGAACATACCCCCACAGTTGTAATCAGCAACGACATGACTCACTGCATCTCTCTTCCGGCCAAGTTTGTCAACTACAACGTGTAATTCAATTCCAATAATACCTCCTTCACCTTCACCCGTCTTCTTCCATCGGTCTCCTGCAGATTTCACTAGATCTCCACCGGGGCCAGTTACTTCTGTGATAGCGGCTTGAAGGGAAGTATCGGGACGATATCGAGCAATTGCCGATGCACTTCTTGCAGCTGCAAGGCGAAGGAAAGAATCACCATTTCCAGTACCCGACATAGCGGTGGCCCTCATATGTTTCCTGGACATCATAGCTTCATCTTCCAGCGCTTCTTGGTGGATTAGATTGTACGATCTTAAACTCAAGCCTGGAAAACAATCTGCCAAAATCCCTTTCAGCTGATCACCTAAGGCAATTATTGGCCGTTGATTGTACATTCTTCGACGGATTTGTTGAAGTCGATGCATGTCATCGTGCGCCGATGTATCCTCCCACTCCTCTGCCCAAAAACCAGCACCAAGCGTTGGCGTGTCCCCAATTCTTCCTGTCAATTTATTTGTCATGCCTCCAGTACTAGTACCTACACACAGCACCCCATCCGCATCAAGGCACACAGCACCACAAGTTCCTTGTGGTATAAATTCTTGGGCATCCCAAGATGCATTTCCATTTTCATCTTTCTCCTTCTTTAACCCTGATATATGCTCATCCCATCTTGCTTGCACAAAAAAGTATTTCTCATCTACAAGCTCCAATCCCCATTCTTTTGCCAATTTTTCGGCGGAATATTTGTGCAGCTGTGAATGTCCTTGTGCTCCGTGGCTTTGCCTAAATGCGTCCTCTTCAACACTCATCGGTCCTCGATGTTCACCATTTCCACCCTCCAAGTCTTGTTCTCCTCGTATCAACATCTCGCGCGCAAGCTTTATTGGATTCTTGACATGTTGTAGTCCCATAAGTCCTACTCCTCTCTTCTTCTTCCCACTTGAAACCATTATCGATGCCTCCAGTTCATTAATTCCATCGCGAGTGAAAACTGCACCATGGCCACTGTTGAACAGAGGATTATCTTCCAATTGAGTAACTGCATAGGTGACAGCATCGAGAGCTGTAGTGGTAGAAGAAGACGTTTTGTGGAGAGGAAAGGAGGATGGCGACGTGAGGAAATAGTGAGTGTTGGAAATTATGCGAAGGAGTGAGTCATGATATAACTTATACTTCGCCGGTGGAAGGTTCGCTGGGAGAATATTACCTGCACCGCCATGGATGATGATGCGGGGTGTTATCGATTGGGAGAAAACTGGTAAAGGTTGTTTGGATTCCATTTTGTATTCCATGATGCCTTGAGGTTATCTAGAATGTTGATGCAAGCTGAAGAGTGACAGTGGTCAGTGAGGCCGATAGATCAGGAGATGAAGAGAACTGTGCTTCTTGCAATGGGGTTATAATTAATAATGCTTGAAAAACAATATCAATATCAATTTCAATTTATAACACGAATGCGAAATTAGGATGAAGATAATGGCTGATGTGAACGTTGTCTGATCAGTTGCATTGCTTATCGTACCTACTTATCGTGCTTATCGAAGAAGTGCACATGGCTTGGCATTACGAGAAAGAGGTAGTAACAGATCACGTGATATTGGATTTATCCTCTCCTCTCACTAGTCCCACGTGCTAACTCTGCAAAGAACAAAGTTGTCATGGAATGAAGATGTTAAAAGGTAGGTAGGTAGGGCAATGCATTTCACTCAATTCCTTCCCAATTAATCAATCAAGGACAGCTGGTAGCTCGGCATCTATTTTAAGAATACAGAAGTCCTTCCCTTCCAGCCAGTGCACCAAGTAGGAGCGACCCGAACGCCCACTTTACGTGAAGAAGAAGACCATAAGAGCGAGCATAAGAGCTTGGAAAATAAACCCGTTTGCTTCTAATAAGCTCTTCCCCATACATTCGCAAGCACAACAGATCAATAAGCTAGATAGCGACCTGGACCGTGTTTTGCTCCATCAATATGACGCTTAATTCATGCAAGAGCGCAGGGGTTTTCCAGATAAGAACAGGTTTATCTTGGCTATGGGTCCTTGAACAATTCCCATTTGATGCTGTGAGTCCAGGAACAACTCAAAACGGCCCATAAGCTCTAGAATGACTTGGTACCGAGTGCAGATTTCGAGATGGGGGAGAGATTAAATATGGAGATTGATAAATTGTGAGGTGCATCATGATGCATCTATTGTGATGTAACAGTGAAACTGAGTGCGAAAGCTCACGAGGACGAGCTGACAAGCAAGTTTTATTTCATGGATTTCAGGTTCTGGCAAGAGCAGCAAAATATAAAATGCCTCGATCATCCGTCCTCCTCTGCTCCCACCTTCTTTTTTATCGACACAATACGCGCAGATCTCTAACTCAAAGCCTCAAACAATCCACAAGTGAGGTCCCCATTGTATTGCTTATCTATGCCTCTTCTCAGCTTATATTGACATTTTCCTTAGGTCACCTAAACCACCAATTACTTCAACCAATCATCATGGGTCTCGGAGAAGATATCAAAGAGTTCGGAGAGGGTGAAATGCAACAGCAGGGTGGAAACAACGGAAATGATAGCGGCAACAATTTCAGCAATGGCATAAGCGATAGCACCAAAGATACCATGGCAGACTCCGGTATGTTCTTGTCCACCTACTTTGTCCTAATTAGTTCTAACATTATATGACACAGCCGTCGACTCATTTGCGAGCAAGGAGGGAGTACCTTCCCAATTGGACTCGGGAATTAACAACGTTGTCAATGATGAGGTCAACAAGTTCTAGACATTTATGGTTGTTCTTATGATTAATGTTGACTGAGCGTGGATATGGGCTGGAGCTTTAGTTTGGATTGTGTACTATTACCACTCTTGTTAAATTTTAAATCATTTCAGTTTCACAAAGTCACTTCTATTTTGTTTTACACATGTTTAAAGTCTCTATCAACATCTTTTTAAATTCGATTCAAGTGAAGTCCAATGCCAAGGCAGCTAAGAGATAGCCAAGAAAGCTTATTTCAAAACTTTTCGAGCGTATTATTTTTCGTCTTTTTCGAACTATGGGGCGCTTCTATCTTGGTGTTAATTCACATAGTTTCGCATTGCAGGGTTACGTGCTTGCTATCTACGAGTCTCTGTTCAGTCTAGTTTTCGTGTCTCTGCATTCGTCTTGACTTGTCCTAATACCATGATTGAGTAGCTTTTCCCTAGACCCGCATTAGATTTTTCGTCGTCTGGTTACTGAAAAATCTCGAGTTTTCGGCGATTGCGAGAATTTCTTGAGGGGAGGTCGACTAGATTGTCGTTACGTGAAAGTGCCCATTGACATTGTTGAAAACCTATGGTTTCATAACAAGGTTCAATTGGGGTCTCTCCCAGTGAAAGGATCGAATTTTGACATACAGATGTTGTTGGTCAATACCCTTTCTGATCTCTGCCTATAATTCAACACGCATAAATTCCTTCATGAGCGCTCTTTCACAAAGTAGATTTTTCCAATTACTCAGATATGTCGAAATTACAAAGTCGCTTACCAACACTATCATATTAAACTAAATTTCAACATGGGAAAATACGAGTATGCATCCATGGTCCCTGACCACACAAATCAACTTGAAGAGGCTAAATTTTGGGTCTATTAATCAGGGAATCACGTCGAAAAGGCGTTGGAAGGAAAGTCGAATGGAGGCAGTGTAGCTCGGAAGCCAAACGAAAGAGGGGGCCATGCTATGTATCGACCATCATTCGTGGAAAATGGCGTTTTCAATTTCGTCTACAATGACTCGAATGATAAGCCCAGGGTTGACAAAGAAGCTATACTACGAATGAATCCCAATTCGGGCCACTCCGAAAGATGGCAGGGAGCATCATATCTCTTTGAATGGAACGAAGAAGTGAGTGATTGGCTTATGCATCTAAAGTCAAATCATTTGATGATAGCTATTTATTGACCTCCGCAATTAGATCTTGTGCGATAGCATCTTTGCAAATCTCAATCAAATCAGAGCGCATAAGATTGTTGTCCGATACGGACAGATTGATGAACTCAGGCTCTGTCTCAGCATGATCGGCAGCAGCTGCTGCGGCGGCGGGAAGAAGAGCTTGAATGATGTTATTCATTCGACTTGAAATAGGTGGTATATTGCGATGTGTCATGGCGCTAAATTTTAGCGCCATCTAGGTACCTAAGGAACTCTCACCAACACCGAGACAAAAGATGACAACTACAATCATGAATGTGAACATTTACTTCTTGCATGGGATTCTCAAACCAATCATTGATTTGCTTGAATTTCAAAATCTTCTGTTGCTCTCAACTATGGAAATTAATAATCGGGAAAAATTTCGATGATTCCTCTGTTCAATACAAACGCAAAGAAGACTTAAAAAATTGGAAGGACGCTCTCTAGCCACATGGGATATTGTTACTGCAAAGCCCATTCAAACAACTCCGCTCAAATAACTTCTTCCACTTTGATAATATTTGCGCTATCGTCAAGTGCCAATTTTTTCTTTCAAGAGATGCTTTCCTTGGGTTCTTGGCTCGGAAGATATCATCTAGTTCTTCCAACTAAGGTGCAGTGTCAGATTTATTCTCATTTCCCCGTTTAAATCTCGAGGTCAACTTACAGTACGATTCTTCGTCTCAGGGATGAAGAAATAAATCACAAGCGCCTGTATTGGACAACAAAGCACAAAAACGATATAGGTTTTCCACTTGATCTTCTCCAAAGCCACAGGATATGCGAACTGGTTCACGAGGGTCGCTATCAAAGTCATTAGTGCCACAAGAATATAAGGCATTGCTAGTACAGGGACACCATACCTGCCGGCACAGCAAAGTTGCTAAATGCCATTCCTTTTGCCCTCATCTCAAAACTCAGGACTTCTACAGGGTATAATGCTTGCAACGGTGTAAAACCTACACTGAAAATTGCGTCGAAGAGGAAAATCATCGCCACAACAGCAGAGCCACTGCTCTTGCTACCTGTATTGGCATTGATGGATGATGAAACTGTAGCCCCGATCCATACTATAGCGCATCCAATGTTTGCGAATAGAAGCAGAGGACGACGACCTACCTTATCTACGAGGGAAGCACCAAACAAAGCCAAGCCAAACTGCATGATATTTGAACCTAGGTTGAGGTTCAGTTGTGTTATGGAATCCTTAATTCCTGCTGTATCAAGAACAGCCGAAATGAAGTATGAAATTGGACCTTTGCACGAAGTCAATACAATCAAATCGAACAGATGGAGTAGATTCCATACCGTTGCCAGCCCACTGTCCGAATATGGCAATTGTGCAGTTGCATGCCAAACGGTATCTTGAAAGCTTTATCTTTGAACAGTGCTCGATAATCCCACCATCTCTTGTCTGCTCCATCCAGTTCCAGATACTCTTCATATTCATGAAGCTGCATTTCGACCCAAATGTTATTTGGGTTTCCTTATCCATGGTATCTTGTAAGCATCGCTTTCGCCTTGTCTCGCTGTCCATGTACGTATTGCCAACGTGGACTCTCGGGAAGGGACCATACTAGGATAATACAAAGACCCGGGAATGCCATTTGTAGCCATACTGGAACTTGCCAGGACCGGTTACCGGATAAGTCCGCACTTGCTCGTGCAGATCCCGAAGCAAGAATTGAGCCAACAAACCTTAGAACATGTTAGCATGGGATCCATAAGGTGTTTGATGGAGAGATGGAAGAGCATCCCCTTGAAAAGCTGGATGATATTGTTTTGTGAGATAAACTAACCAAAAGGTATTATAGAACTATGAGGCGAGTCAGTCACAATGTTCTATCTTTACAAAGATGCACTTCACTTACAGCAGTGAAAACACCTCGGTGGGCAGGATGCGATGTTTCGACAACATAACTTGTGACGAGTTAGCTAATAACGTTCCCAGATTGGTCCGAGTATCGTTATTACTTACATTGGGCCCGCTGATGCAACAATACCCACACCAAATCCAAGCAGAAACCTGCCGCCCATGAACTGCCCGATGACATTACTCGAGTTAAGTGTGGTAGATTGGACTATAGTTCCCGGCACAATCGATGAAGCTCCGATATAGATTCCGATCTTTCTTCCCCAAGTATTGATCGCCGGCCCGATAAAAGGAATAGCTGCCACACTGCCGATCGAATACATAGAAGTAACGATTCCATTCCAAGCACGATCGTTAGCCACATTGAAGTACTTCCTAAATTGCTCCAATGCGAGAAGAGAGTTGAACATAGAGCCATCAAATCTGTTGCAAGTGCTGCAAAAGAAAGCCACTAGCGCACAAGCGTATAGTATGAAGGATCGTCCTGACCATGTTTTTGGTGGCTCCTTCAACATTGCTTGCGCGAAAGCCTCATCGCCTTTCACCACTTTAATTTGGGTCACATGCTTTTCATTGTTCTATGCTCAAATCATCAGTTTTATCGTTCCTTTCTTTCCTCATGAAACCTACATGTTCTTGGTGCGTACCAACACCTATATTTTCATCCGCGGTCATAGTGACGATGACTCCCTGACAAGCAACAAACGTTTACCAGAACAGATGTTTCGATGATCGCAGATGTTCAAGAACTAGAAGTATGTTCTTGAAATGTTGGATGTTTGCGGCTAATCAGACACGACTCTAATCGTGACATCGGGCGTCTTTCATCATAATTAACTATTATTAAACAAGTTGATTCGGATTATCATCCATATATCAGGAGAAACCCCTGATACTTTATGTACAACCTCATTTGTTCATGTATCTCCAGTCGAGCTCTGGGCCCAAAAGCTTCACGACGCCCAAATACAAACTACACCGCAACTCAGACCATCCCAAAGAAAACGGAATCAGTACTCTCCGCCTTTACTCGAGATTTCGGAATGCATGAAGAAAAAATGATTGTTCAAAGATAGCACAAGGCGATTCGTTTCACAAGGATTACTTTTTATGGCGGAGGCTTTACTCAATTGAGACTGAGGGGTAGCTGGGCGCCCCCGGACCTCGCTCGCTTATAGGCTTAGTGATTGGAGAATCTATCATGCGATCCGGGGGTAACACTAAACCTGAATGTTTGCCCAGCCCTTGTTTGATTTGGTCGTTTGTACTCATCCTATTCACGGAGGTACAAGGCCCGTATTGTGGTAATCTTGTGGGGAAGTAATTCTTTCATGATTCTAGATTTGTAGTGAAACACAAATCACATTCAGTGATCTCGAAATTGTACTTCAGTTGTATTATTGTTAGCAGCTGTTCAAATTTCTCCCAATGTTCGTGGATAAAGTGAACTCAAAACTGGGAAAGCTTTTCGATCTTCACGATTGGCTATCTCAACCGCGGTTTATCATTGGTTTGAGGTTATCTCACAACACTTTAACCACCTTTGAAGTGTGAGACTTTGCTCCTTCAACTCGACACTCGTTTTTGACTGAAAATACACAATCGCGAACGAAATACAGCTTTTTGTTCTTTTGCGCACATGAAGGATAAATGATACTATTGGGTGGATGATTGCAGTGAATGGCACTTTGCTAAGTACAGAAGTGTGCATGTCGCGAACGAAACAGATTGCACATCTAGATCCTCACGGTGTTCCCTACAGCACCTTCAAAATTTTGATCAATTCTTTTTGATCTCCAGATTTGACCTCCAATAAATGATATTGCAGTCCAATGCTGGATAACGAATTAGCTTGAGCTTCATCATGACCATTGGGTGAGTGAGTACTCCTCAAGACTCTATAGATAGTTTACCTTTTCAAGCAGGGTTTAGAAAGCTTTCTTGCTATCACAATAGTCAAAGTCCAACTTCACAAGCTATTGAGGTTCATTTATCTTTGAATGAGTTTAACACAAAATCTCACAGCGGGGGTTTTTGCGATACGTAAGGGCATAATCAATTCTTTACATCCCAGGAGTGGTGGTCCCTAAATCATTCTTGATAATATGGCACATCAATTTCTATGTTTTTCGTATTATATTATACTCAATTATTGCAATTCAGAAAGATAGGAAATGAACTTCTCGTCTCGCGCTCTGATTCAGGCAAAAATACCATGCTGGGGACGGTCCAGAAAATCCGAACACTAAGGTTACCAAAAAGGATATTTAAAGACAGCTCTGCTTCACACTCGAATTTGAATCAATTCGTGCATTTGTTTTCATATCTTTCAAATTAGCATACAAGAGTTTTGATCAACTGAGTTGTCGCCATGAAATCTCCCTCCAAGAATACTTTGATTCGATATCAAATCGATTGGAGTGTAAAACCTTTGTGTTCGATTTTGCTGACAATCGCACACCGGTTGAGATATTGAAATAACGTATCATTCCATGATTGGCAATGCAGAATGCAGGAAATGGATTGACGATACAGGGGTATCGGAGTATCGTGATTGTTGATGATGAGAGACCTCGGCTTTTCACACATACAATTCATTTCATTTGGGCCGACAGAATCATGAAAGGGTGGCAAATACAGTGTTACACGTATCAATCTTCAGGGCTCAAATTGCTTCTGAATTTTGGGCTTCATACGATGTGGGTGGCCATGCGGACCAGATCATAGCCACGTGTAAGCCGTCATCTTTTATTGGACGGGGTATTCAAGAGGCGGCATGACGTGGATTCAAATCCATACTTTCCTCCCTTCTTGGTACTAGTACCTGCAGGTAGCTGAATAATACCCCTCATTGAAGATATAAGAATGAGACCACGAGAAAATACATATACAGGTACAATTCACTTCTTCGTGAGTACTTCGTTCACAGCTTTTCAGCCTTTTACCTTTCAGAAGGAACGAGAGTATCAAGATACAGACGATGGCTTCTTATAGAATTGTTTTTCTTCTTATCCACTTGTTTTGCACATCATCTGCGCAGACTGTCCAAAATACCAATTGTAGAGCGCTGCCTGGAGACCAATCATGGCCATCTGCAACAGAGTGGAACAATCTCAACAGTACAGTCAATGGTAGGCTTGTAGCTACCGTGCCCATCGCAAGCCCTTGCCATGAACCTAACTACAGCGCGACGGAATGCGCATATTTACAAGCGAACTGGGCGAACCCAAGTCTGCAGTAAGTCTTTCACAGCGCTATCATTTATACCATATGAACTTTCTAATTCCAAATCCAGTTGGAATTCATCTTCCTCCTTGATAGCTCCATACTTTGCGACACTTGGAAATCAGAGCTGCAACCCTTTTTCTTCCGAACAAAGTCTTTGTAGCTTGGGAAATTTGGTTAATTATGCTGTCAATGTGTCGACACCCAATGATGCCGTTGCTGCCATTCAATTCGCTAAGAATCATAACATCCGTTTTGTAATCCGGAATACTGGTCACGAGTAAGTTTCTCTCTTAGAAAATTCTAATGCTATGCGTCAGCTAAGATCATGCAAGTTATTTGGGCAAGTCAACTGGTGCAGGCTCATTAGCTGTTTGGACTCACAACTTGAAGAATATATCATTTTCTGACTGGAAATCTGACTATTTTACCGGAAAGGTCATGAAGATTGGTGCTGGCATTCAAGGGTTTGAAGCATTAGAAGCTGCTCATGATGCAGGTTTTGTGACGGTAGGTGGTGAATGTCCGACAGTTGGAATCGCCGGAGGCTATACACAAGGAGGTGGTCATTCGGCACTCTCTAGCAATTTTGGTATGGGTGCTGATCAAGCGCTTTCGTGGGAAGTTGTAACGGCCAGTGGCAACGTGGTCACTGCCTCACGAACCGAAAACAAAGACCTTTATTGGGCTTTAAGTGGCGGTGGGGGTGGTACATATGGAGTCATCATATCTCTAACCGTGAGAGTACATCCTGACACTGTAGTCAGTGGTGCCTCTTTGGCATTTTCGGCAACCGGCGGCAACACGAGTATTGAAACTTTCTGGAAAGGTGTTGAAGCCTTTCATACTTATCTTCCTGGAATGGTCGATGCAGGAACTATGGTTGGCTATGGAGCTTCGTCTTCAGTTTTCCGAATTATTGGTATGACGGCATACAATAAGACTAAAGCTGACGTCCAAGCTCTCTTAGCCAATTTCACCGACAAACTCACAACTCTTGGTATTAATTTTACAGTCGCGTACACACAGTACCCAACATATCTTGACCACTACAATCAATCTCTTGGGCCTCTCCCTTATGGTCCCTGGGGTGGACCAGGAGTCAATACCGGTGGTGGTCGATTGATATCAAGAAGTGTCGTACAGGAGAATAACAAAGCTTACGTCGCAACTATTCGTAATGTCACGAATGCGGGTATCCCTTACACAGGCGTAGCTCTGAACGTCTCATCTCCTCATATTATATCTACTGCCGATAATGCTTTACTTCCAGCTTGGCGTGATGCCCTCATCCATGTCATCTTGACTATACCATGGAACTATTCTGCGCCAATATCTGAGATGGTAGCTGCTCAATATCATATGATAAATGAGATCATCCCACAATTCGAAGTACTCACTCCTGGGGGAGGTACTTATTTGAACGAAGGTAATTTCAGACAGCCAGACTGGCAGCAAACTTTCTATGGGAAGAACTACCGCAAGTTACTAGGATAAAAATAAGTGGGATCCAGATCAATTGTTTTACGCCACAACTGCAGTGGGTAGTGAGGCATGGAGTATAGCAGCTGATGGGAGAATGTGTCGGACAAATGACACGACAACCTCAGTACTAGCACTTTCAAGTGGTGGCAAGAGGTTTAAGCGGGTCGAGAATTAGGTACCATCTTATCCCGAGCTTCTCCTGAGCTCTGAACCAAATATAGAGGCAGCAAAGAAGCATTTTATAGCTATTTTCCTTTAAAAGAAACAATTTTTGACTTTGAATCATGCAACTAGCCAGACCGTTCGTATCTTCAATTCCAACAACATCTTAACTACCAAGTCCAAGTGAAAAGTCACAGCACCCAGCAAATGCAGTTGAGTACAGTATCTTTAGTTTGATTAATCATTTAGTGTTCCATTATTTCGTGTTGTGGTATCAAAAGTGTCTCGAGTTAGGTTCCCATGGTCATTATTTCCTACTCTTTTGGTCAGCAAGCCCTCGTGTATTAGTCAAGTGCGATGGAAAATCCATACCATACATCTCTTCAAAACCCTCTTCACAACCCCATTTTTCTTTCTCTCTCCTTCCTCCCTCTCATCGTCTTCTTTTCTCCGTCTCGCGTCCCTCAAAATCTGCTCCTGCTCGCGCCCAACAATAATCTTTCTAATCAAATTCTCAATTAGAACGTCACAATTCTCGCCTTCTTTTGCTGAACATTCTGAGAACCCGCAATTCAGCCTTTCGGCTAATGCCTTCCCATCCTCAGTCTTGACACTTCTTTTTTCCCACATATCACTCATAGTCCCGACTACTTCCACATATAACCCCTTTTTTTCTGGAACCTTCACATGTTTCACAAGAGTCCAGAGAGCTTCTAGAACAGAGAAGGATTCGGGCGAGCAGATTGAATACATCAATATTATCCCATCGGCGTCTCTAATCAGTGGCTCAAACAAACCGGCATATCGATCATCGTAATTCAATTCCATAATATTTACGAAACACTGTTCGGAACCGATAGTGATGTTTGTTTGATGACTATCTTCGAGTGTTGGATCGTAAGGATTAATGGACACACGGAAATCATTGTAAACAATCTATCTTCCTGTCAACCCCCCCTCTCATGAAGTATCAAAGATTCGGGCCTTACCTTATTCTTCATGCCAGCGTTTCCAGACCCAGTATTTCCAAAGAACAAAATATTGTATCTTCTTTTCCTAGGCGCCGGACCGGAAGACACCCGATTTTGTTGTGGTCGATTCATTTTCGGCTTGAAATCTAGAACCAGCCAGTCTCAAGTTTAAGTTTTCGAGATACTATAACCAAATTGCACGACGAGATTCATTATCTATTATCTAGAATACCCATGCTGTAGAATTTCTGTGAGTAGATAGGCGCAGTATCGTAGCTGTGGGGTTTGTGATTAACGTTGCATTTATATGCGGGTGCGGGTGCTGGTAAGTGGGGGGCATAGCCACAATTCCTTCTCGTATCAGTACTTGAACCAATTGTTCTTGCATATATCATATCTATCTTTGGATCTTTATATTGACAACCTGAAGCAAATCAGGATCACTGTTCATGTGCGGGGAAGTTTTCATTTTTCACGTACTTCTTCATGCCGAGGCTATCACATACACAGCTTTACCGCATTTCCGGCCTCTGGGATGCCCTATTGAAAGCACGGATTTGTCAGTTCTACATGCGGAGACTCTTGACCTTCCATTTGAGCTCTTGTTTCTTGTGTTGCTAGCGCCTCCGTGCTTTATTAGTGGTGCAACATTATGTAGGAAGTCGGTGGGACGACCTAGATGTTGAGGAATTTTTGGAAACAAGTCAGGAAGACTCGAGCTTTGAAATTAGGAAGACATAGCTTTCTCTTCATTCATAGCCTCGCAAACCAGGTTTGTCGTTCTTTCACATCACTTGACTCGATGTTCCGTCCCAGCGAGGGATAACAGGTTGAGAAATTCTGAATCGGAGTTGATTTTTACTTGCAACATGAATTCGAGATGTTCGGGATTATTGTCTGCTTAGGCTAGTTGCTGTCGATAAAGACTTTGTAGTATTGTTAGATAATGAGGACTTTTTTTGTCTTTGCTTCTTAAAATTCGGCACAGATACGTTCAATAACAATGTGCAACAACTGACCAGTTTCTTCCACATAACCCCCCGGAAAAGCAGTGCGGTCGCTTTCCAAGTGGTCTGATGCCTAAATGATGTTTCTTCAGCGGTCACAGCAGACTGACTACTCAAGGGGGCCTTGACAGTCCAGAACAAAATTCGATAGTGAGATCCTTTGAATCATCAATTGATCTCGATATTCTTCAAACAAATGCGTCCTAATTGCGATATTCATTTCTGATATGAATGTATTAATAAAACATCGCAAGGTTTGATAAAAAGGCGCTTCCATATCCGATCGCCTAATCTACTATGCACCTATCTTACTAATCAATGAAATTCAAGATCTTCAATATCCAGTTCCAGTTCCTACTTCAAAGAACACTCCCGAATTATTACACATATTGTCTGCCTTCGAGTCGACCACTGGCCGCCAACTGAAATTATTGAATTCTGACGACTCCAGATGCTTTTCTTTCTAAAACCAGTTCATATGTGGTACGATATTGATTTTGTGGCGACCTCTGATGGCCGACAACGCTGCTGCCTAGTTTGTTAAAGTTCATAGTTTTATAGATAAGCCTCGATCCCGCAACTAAAGACACATTTGAAAGACCAAAAGTCGAGATACATCGAATCCCGAGCCTTCAATTTCAAACTCTGTAGGTATGTCGGGAAATTATCGCAGATGGACGGATTTAGAGAAAGATTACCTCCGTCGTCACGGCCCCAAAATCAGGCGATAATGTAGCGCCGGAAATCTGGGTCAAACTAACTGATGATCTAAATGATAGAATCAAAGAGTGGTGCAGAAAGAATCCATATCTAGTAACTATTCCTGGAAAGCCAAAAGATTCAAAACCTCGAGAACCTTGGACACGAACCTTAGTTGCGATTCAAGGTTATTACACAACTGGTGGCTTCTCAGAACTCTATCCCGAAGAAGGGCCGGCGGCGAGACCAAGAATTTGGTCAAAGCGGTCTCTAGGTATACCAAAGATACTGAATTGTCGAAATACCCACCAGAACTTGATTTTCAACTAAAAAAAATGATTGATGACAACCCAGATTGGAAGGCTATCTTGAAAAAGTGTAAGGAGCTTGGGGGAGAGGGCAATGAATACACACATGGTCCGTCCGGAATCGTCATACCAAGTTTTTGAAGGATGTAAGTCTTGAAGTGCTACAAAATCGAGCAGAGAAGGTCGCAAAGCGACAAAATGCGTCAGACTGCCTACCATCACAACCATCTGATGGGGGATCTTCTTCTACCAAGCAGGAAGTAGGAAGGGCACTACGCACAACTGAAACTCGAGGTAGCGACACTAGTAGGTCTATACGAACAGATGAGCGAGATAATAGGAAAGAAGGGGAGTCTTCGAGTAACGGACAATCCCTTCCAGTGCCAAGATCATCTGCGAGATCTTCTTCAGGTAGCAGACAAGAAGAAAAAAGACCAGTACGCGCAACTGAACTTCAAGATCGTAAAACGAATCAGCCACTGGCTCCTGCTAGTGGTTCAGGCAACGATCAAGAAAAGCCTGCAGCCAAAACTGGAGCAAAATCTACGCGAGAAGGAAGCCAAAGACACAGTCAAGAGAACCGAATGCCTCAAAAAGCTAGCGTCAAACGTGATAATCCAAGTAATAAGTACAGAGAGCGCAAAGCTCCCGCAATTAAGGAACTTGAGGAAGGCGAGATTGTTGAGATTAAACGTACTGACACTGGAAGATCCAATAGTCCAGACAAACGACATAATAGAGATAGTCGTCTAGAAAAGAATGCCAAGGAGCGCCGAGAAAGGAGCTGAAGAATCCTTTCGGTCGAAGATGACGGAAATTTAGTTTGATCTTCTAAATGAAAGGCAAGACTATTGTTTAAATGAATGATAGGGCATAAAGGGTTATTTAAATATGTTACAGAAAAGGTATTAAACCATTTACGTCTAGATGGCTAGTCATTCTTTTACGACTTTTATGTTTTCCTTAATTTTGTTGCAGTCCATCTTGAGTTTGATGATTCTATTCCAAAATAACGAAGACAAATTCGTGAGCTGTTGAGATCTTGCCAATAATATTCACTTTCTTGCTCAGATAACACTAGTAACACATTCGATTATTATATTGACATGTCAACAACAAACAAAACTACCCTTCACCAGGAGGATTGAGACTATTTGATTCTCTAGAGTACCAACGCTATATCTTCTCTTCAAATATCTGTGGGTGCTTCTACCTAGCGAATTCCCCTTATCATTCCACTGGAAAAAGTGAATTTATTCACTTCTATGAATAGTTTTCGCATATTTTGTCTGGCCACTGAAACATGGTACTCCGGAACCTGCAACACACAGGAAACTGATCAATGAGACTATTTGACACGTTTTCTTTCGCATATGTTGATTCAAGGCTTCACCTGACAAGAATAAAGTCTCATTTGGTGCAAGAAAACAAAGAAAAGAGCAGCGATGGGCTAGGCATAAATTAGTAGATAGAATGAGCTATTTGGAGAGAAATCTCGAACTTTCGAGCATAGCTAATGTATATGGTATAAGTAACAACTTCATACCCAGGTTGTATCCCTATTGATTCTCCCGATATTCAAATGCTTGGCCCCCTTACCCGACACACAAGACTAATCCATCTGCAATGCCCAACCACGCCAACGATGCAAGCGAGCCATGGGATTACGACTGGACTGCTGTCATCGAAGCCATGATTCTCGCCATGTCTGCGTCACTCAAAGACGACATTCGATTCCAAAGATTTCTTTATGAAAGTGAGCTTGCGAAAGAGAAGAAAGGCGCGCCTTTAGAAAATGAGGAAATGAAGGCAATCTGCCAGAAGTCGAAGGATGATCTCGAGCACGAGCTTGGGGTTGAATGCATCTGTCAGGACTGTTGGACAAGACTTCAAATGAGAGGGGCAGTAGACAAGGAATTCAAGAACGCGGAAGTCAAAGAGACGAAAGTTGAGAATAAGGAAGCCAATAAGGTGGGGGAAGAGGGGATTGATGGGTTTAACACAGTTGCTGGTGGAGCTACGGTCTCATGCGAGGGGCCCGCAAACGAAGCAACCAATTTACCCATCGGAACCAACATCCATTCAGACTCCACGACTTCGAATGGTACATTGGAAAGAAACGTCACCGGGTAGACCTCAAGCAAAAACCAAATCGCGATTAAATCAGATATGATCTATGCCATCGAGAGAACCCAAATCCCCTCAAATGCTGTCCGAAATTCCTAGAAAATGGTACCCGAGGAGACTTTGGCTGGTATATCTATGCTTCCAAGCTTGATAGTTGCAAGTCGTCACGCGCGGACTGGTGTTTGGATCATTTGAAATCGATGAGTCGTAATCTCACAATATTGAGAGACGAACTGTGGAGATTGAATGATTTTGTTGAATTTGAAATCAAAGCAGTGGATTACATGAGTACACGTGAGCGAGGATGAATGTTGGAGATTTGAATAGAAACGAAGAGACATTCGAGCTCTCTCAATGTGGATATAAAATTGTTAGCAACGTGAGAGGATAGCAATGGGAATTAGGGTTACAATCATCATAAATGCAAACAACAGTCATATGTAAGTAAAAAGATATCACAACTCCACGACTACGTCTCCAACGCTGCAGAGGAATCCCCACTCCGACCTACGCATCTCCACATCTCTACACACCCCCAACATGCATGATGAAGTCCTTATATGAAGAATTTCATGGTGCAGTAAACTAGTTAGGAATTTGTCGCAAGTCGCTGAAATTTTTGAACTTCCGCCAAGCCGGAGTTACTATACGCCAAGAACTGGGGGGAAGGAAAACTAACAACACCGACCCTGATTGTTTAAATTTTGGCACCATTAATCAGATCAGAATCTCCCTGATGATTAAAAACAGTAAGATTGCTGATATACCTGATTGGCTATGGATATTTTCGGCATATATAAGTCTCCAAAAGGCAGTTGCGTAGTAAATGGCGCAATCATTATGAGAGGGCTAAATCCTCCCTTGTTCCAAATCTATAGATGAACTCTAGTGTGTGGGGATATGACGATCAACATCAAATAGAGTAGGACAACTATGTAGGAGCCGGTCTTATACTGCTTGAAATAAAGAGTTTGATTCGCTAATGTATCCTCTTTCAACACACAGCACATTGACCACCAGTCTTTCCGTGACGGTAGAATTCATGCGGATGCGCAACTAGGCATATCCACAAATGGATGTAGAGATCAAAGATTTACCTTCAAATTCATTTCGCCAAAGGAAAACTCGTGATATGTGACAGCTGTCGTTGTAATCAGTTTGCGCAAGCTTCAATGCAGCCAGTATCCTTCAATTGAGCGCAAAGCATGCATATCACGCAACATGTACGAACAGTGCCACTTTCGATGCTATAATCTCTGCTAGAGCTCGGGAGAATAAACCAATTTTGGTGAGTGATGCTGTTACTAATCCCGCATCTGTTTAATCTTCAATAGAACAAGAAAATGACCTCCGGTAGCTTGCACTGCAATCTACATCTGATGCAACAAGGGGAATGATTCCAACGATAGCAAATTAGCACAAAAAAAATCAGCTTCTCTCTTGAACGTAGAATTGGCATCATAGGACCAAAAATTTAAGGGTGACAACAGCTCCTCGCCAGTTGGAACTCACGAACGCTCTGTCCAAAAATTATGTTGCCACTAGCATCACATTTCTGAAAACTTATTAAGAGTTTCTTCTTCGGAGCCCATGTAGAAGAAAGTCTTCATACCTACGTGACAAGGGATGAAATACTCAGATACATACACAAGCTTATATATATATAACACGTTATACACATAATGTTGTGAAAATAATCACTGAAAACCTCAATATGCATCCAAGTACATACGATAACTTAACCCATTGGACGTAGATTGAATATAGATACCCATTTCGAGCGTGTTACTGGTGTTTAAAGTCAAGAGAACATCATTTTATCATTGAAAGATTTTTGAAATAGAATGAAGTTTGTAGTTGGTGATGTCCCCTTGATCGTGAGTTGAAGAGAAAGTAATCTTACCCCACATCCTGTATCTTAGCCTTGCATTTTAGCCTTCCTACCCTTGAAGTAATCACGTCACACATCATTCAAACTGTTCGCCGTTGCCATCTTATTGAATCGAGTCCAAACACACATCAACAGCTTCACTCCCTTGAAAGTTAAACCTGCTGCCTTTTTATTCAACCGGATCACAATGACCACCATGTTTGCTCGTGTAGTTCCAAGAACAATTCGTGCATTACCCCGCGCTTCTCCTATTCAGAACTCCTTCAGAGCTCAAGTAGTTGCCCCTCTTTCGCGACGATTCCTGGCCACAAACACTTTACCTGAGCAACCACGATTGAGATTGGGTTCCGAAGGTATGGTCTTGTTGATTGCTCAATACTTTCCAGAAAGCTGGACTTTATCTTTGGTTCAATTATATGTTAACAACTATCCCACACACAGCACCCAACTTCCAAGCCGAAACAACCCAAGGTCCTATTGATTTCCATAAGTTTATCGGCAACAAATGGACAATCTTGTTCTCCCACCCTGCAGACTTCACTCCAGTTTGCACGACCGAACTTGGTGCTTTTGCGAAACTAAAGGATGAATTTGAGAAGCGAGATGTGAACATGATTGGGTTGGTATGCTATCATTTCATGGCATTCATAGGATATCCATTCAGCATATTGCGTGCTAATCTCTGGGTTGATTTGAAATAGTCCGCAGATCCTCTCCCTTCCCACAAAGAATGGATCAAAGACATCAACGAAGTTTCTGGTACCACACTGCAATTTCCCATCATCGCGGACGCGGACCGCAAAGTAGCTTATCTCTACGATATGCTTGACGCTCAAGACACGACCAACATTGATCAAAAAGGCATTGCATTCACCATTCGTTCCGTTTTTATTATCGATCCTGCCAAAAAGATCAGACTTACGATGATGTACCCAGCTAGCTGTGGGCGAAATACCAAGGAAGTGCTGAGAGTCATTGATAGCTTGCAGACGGCAGATAAGAAAGGTGTCACTACACCCATTGATTGGCAGGTAGGAGATGATGTTATTGTGCCACCAACAGTCAAGACGGAAGATGCGCGGAAGAAATTTGGAGAGGTTAGAGAGGTAAAGCCTTATTTGAGGTTTACAAACGTTGGGCAATAGAGTCTTTGTTCTACCTTTACTATCTTGATACCATTGTACGACGGTATAAGGTTAATTAGAAATGCTTAGTATTACAGACAAGAGCTCATTATTTCAGCGACTGAGCTCATAGCTAAAATCTTACAACTTAACCCGCTCATCACATTCACCTCTCTCAGCGAACAGAAATTCTTATCTTTAAAACGATGATGAAAATTCTTATAAAACCCTCTGCAGATTACCAGATTACGACGTCTCTGGTCTCAGGTGGCCATACTGCATCGAACTTCTGGAAGTATGCAACATGTTTGAATGAGCCACATCCGAAATTCATCAAAATCAATCCCAGGCAGATTCTTCGATCCATTCCGTCTCTCATCGGCTTCAAGAGCACCAAAGTGCGTTCTTTTGTCGAACTACAAGATTTGATGATGGTCTTGCGACGCTCATATCCTAACAGTAGGGCCCAGTATTTTTTGCTTAAATCCAGTTTTACATCAGCGTAAAACGTCTCCAATACCAACCGGTTGTACACCGCGACGTTTTCTCGAAATGGACTTACGAAGCAAGAAATATCAATTTTGAGAAGATGACCTTTGACAATGATTGATCCACTTTTCACTGGCCCATAGCGATTGGAAACGAAGTCTATGTGGGCACCTACCAACATTGCATCCCACAAAATATCTGTGTTCTCGTAATCTGGACAAGAGTAATAACTGAGTGGTGTATCTTCTGTTAGCAGTTTGGCGCCCTTGAAAGCCACGGGAGCATAGCTGAATAGGGTATGACACGATGCCCATGACCATGAAGGGGCGCTATATTCAATATCAGCCGGCAGTGTGGAGCGACGAACACATCCAGAACTAGGTCGATGAGGCAGCCAGCACAAGGCTTGCGGAAAATCGCGCGCCCAAAGGCCTGCAAGGTACGTATCTCCTATTATTGATCCGAGCTGATACGCCAAACCAGCCACTGCCGGGAGCTTGTCCTTTCTATGCAATATTTGCTTTCCTGAATATACTTCTAGCAGTTGGTACCATGCGTCTATTTCTCGGGGAGAACAGAATTGCTTTTGTCCTTTGTTCAGAGCTAGGAAAGGAAAGGTAGCAAGCTTACTACCAACAAAGATATTAAGATCTCCTGCATCTTTCGCTGGGTCTTCATCGGATCTTTTGCTCATGCGACACCGGAAGTGCATGCCAACAGGTGAGTATATCATCGTCCGAGCCGCCAAAATACTTTCTTGAAGTACTCAGGCCCTGCCAAAAAGTGGACATGGTAGAGAAATACCCACTTCTCCAGTTGCGTGTCCGGTTTGAATACACGGTCGAATCCACAAAGATCTCGATACAGTCTTTCTGTCAGAGCGAAGAATATGGCCAATTTTAACACTCAATCTCTTGGGTAAGAACCCGCTATCTCCGTCAAGCGCTGCTGCAGCGGCAATGTTGAATTTAGCGTTGTTGTAGACGAAGCACATTTTGGACGATTCCTCAATCCATTCTTCATCGGAGTCCTGGATAATGCAAAGCGAATCGATCCACAAATATCGCATTTGCAGTTCTCTAGTTGCGCGTACAGCGTCTGCATATGTCTTGTTCAAACTATTCACCGGAATTGCGTATTTCCTTTCATTCAAGGTGTCTTTCTTAGTTGACAAGTGCGTCGATTTTCCCCAGCAGTGGCTCAAAGTGACGTACTGCCAATCCTTCCCAGTTTTCATCTCTGAAGGCAAAGATCCATGGGTGTCTATAAGATGTGGCACACTGAAATCACCGCTTTTATCGGAATACCCAACGTCGATTAGCCTCGATGGGAGGCTCTTCGAATTGAATCGTACGCGACATCCATCATGATTTTCCGAACATTCTCTGAGCCATTCTCTTGCCATTTCAACTGTGTTTGATGCCAATGGATCTGGTGCTTGGTGATGTTTCAAAGGCCAGATCTAGTGCTTATCTCCCTGCACGTAGAGTTGCAAACAGAGCCCTCCATACATCACCATTCCATTTCGCCCACGAAGAAGCTTGAAGCTAAAATACAAGTCATGGGAATTCTTTAGTGAGAACTTGCGCCAGGACTCCAGATTTAGGTAGTGGTCGCCATTCAGGAATTTTAATAACATCAGGCATAACCGGCAGCTCTTATCAGCAGAAAGCCGGAGGCTGGCCAAATTTTTATGGTGACGCAAATGGGGTTCCCATCCATTCCATGAGATGGGCCAGCTTGACTGATTCTGAGGCTTTGAAGCTTAGATTATCGTCTTGGAAGTGATCCAAGTGCGAAATCTTATACACTTTGCGCATAATGGCATGGTGATTATGTGTGAAATGTGACTTTATGAGAATAAATGTCATGACTCGGTGTGAATATCTGTATGTGGTCAAGATAACTCGAGAAATAATAGAGCTTTATAGGTTACCGTGAAAAGGATTTCTCGGGTGTTACGATGCCAAATCATGTGCCAGAGGTAGCGCGGTGTCTGTGCGATGAAAGAATCGTACAATGAAGGATCTAAACAATGTAAGATGAATTGTTGATTTCAATGTCTCTCTATATTGAGGATCTAATTTGATAGGTCACTGATGAATCTGTGAACGGTTTGAAAAAAAGCAATCATGAAATTGAAATGTCGGGTAACGAGTCACTTAAAGGCTGATCGGATTCTCGTGTCCCGGAACGCGTGGAGTAATTCCGAATAGCGAATCATTCAACCGAAAGTTTACACCGGGGGGTACAAGAGCCTTCCGCTGGGAAAGCGATGTGGCTAAAGGAGAAAAAAGCAACTAAATGCTGAACTTTGCATTGTTTTGCAGCATAGATTCTGGTTTCCGATTCTTCAGTCAAGCAACAGGGATGATACATCTCGATCTCAGAAGATTTTTGTATGCCTGTAAGTTTTCTCATGTTCTACCAACCATAGAACTTCATGTCGGCCGAACACTTCTCAATTTACCTCTTCTTGTTTCAACTCCCATATCCAATCTATTTGCGAGAATCTCATATCCTTGTCAGAAGTGCAATAGAAGTGATGTAACTGATTTATTCTAGCCTCTCTACACCAGCTAAGACGTATCGAGTCGCAAAGTGTTGTTCGAGAACAAGACAGCGGCTTCCGGTGAGATTTGCTAGTGTGGATGTAGGCGCACGCGTAGAAGCCTTTCCTCATGATCGAAAATTAGGATTCATGCATTTTCTCCACCTTCGACTGAACTTACTAATCAGGTCATCGGTGAGCATATACAATAGTTTTCTTGGATCTTGTGTCTCCCATGAGGCCTTGGTATCTTTTCTCTTCGGTGATATTTGGCTCTCTATCGTTGTTTCCAATTTCGGATCAAAATTCACTGAGCCCGCTAAAGAAGACTTCTTGATAAAACCAAATATTCTATTGATACAATTTTAGCCTCGAATGAGTAAGCGGGGACGAATACCAAAACCTCGTGACCTTACTAGAAATGCCGGTAGGGTCAGTAGTCTGGATGAACTCACCTAGCAACCATTAAGCCAGAAGTTCAGCCCGAGGCCGGTAGTATTGGCGCGAAGCTTGGCATCGGACAAATAGCGGGGCTGAGATTGAAGACATGAAGAAGGTGGAATGTGAAATAAAGTGCCAAATTGGCTGCTTGAGAAGCCTAGGAATCAGAGAAGCTTCCCGATGCACTGTGCCATTGCATCTTATAGAGAAGTAATTCCACTTACATGAGCTTCAAAGAGCACCCCGCCTCAGAACAAACCTCGATTTTGCAAATCACCAACTCTAACTTGTGTTAGTCAATTTCCAAGAACTATCAGCACAATTTAGTTCGGTGGCTACACTAGAAACAGACTACTCTGATTTCATAATCACCATTTCCAACTTGTCAAGTACTTGGTGAATGTTAGTGTGATTTTAGTCTTATAGTATGACGTTTCCGGCTCTCGAGCGAAGATAAGAACTTTTATAAGTTCTCAGTAGGTTCAATCCTATTCCTAGAAACTACGTTTCATGTTTCTTCCATAAGAAAAGATAGAGGGAATAATTGTTGCTTCAAAGAAATCATCAGTTCGAAGAATACGTAGTAGTCATGGCGGACCATAACAGCAGTCATTCTCAATATACTCGTAAGTAATTCCCTTTCACATTCATTCCCTAGAACAAATCTTCCCTCGCAATATAAAGAAAAAATGACTAAAACCCAGAAAAGCCATAACCACTGCACCTGATGTTTCAATCGAGGCCAGCCCGTTGAATCTTGCAGCACTTGCGAAGGATACTCAAACATCAAATCTTGACCCTTCATCTTCGATTGCCGATGCAGAGAAGACCAAAGTTGAGAACAAAGATGAGGGAAATTGGAAATGGTAAATATGAGGGAATTCGCCGCCCACCACCAAGCGATACCGATGTTATTTTTGATGGGGATTCTGACGTCGATGTCGAACCCGAATCTGAAACAGATTCCATGATGCCAGTAGGGGACAAAGGCGAACAAAAGAGCAAATTTCAGAAATCATTGAAGGAACGTAGATCCATCATTGCACCTGAATCCGATGGAGAAGAGGGATTTGAGTCTGGGTTTGGGTTCAAATCTCGACCTCAATCTAGTTCTATCAACTTTAGCACAGAGATCGAGAACCAGGGTTCAGTAACAGGCAATGGTGATTTTGATAAGATCGAAGATCCGTATCAACAAGACAGTGAAGATTCATCCTCTCTTCAGCTCACACCTACATCTACAGCCGAGTTCGCTACAGAATCTGATTCTCAATCGATACACCAGATTTCAGCCAAGTCAGAAATTGATCATGATTTCGCATCTGGCGAGGGGGCAGATGCGAACCACAAAGCCGAGACTGCATCTCAAGCAGCTGCGCATTTAGATTCATTGGATCCTATGAATCCATCCGTCGAGCAAGACGATACAAGACGCAATGCCAGCATACGAGCCACGATAAAAGAACTTCAAAATCCCGCTGTCACAGCACTCTTCCACATGTTTCTCGCTTTTATACTCATCCTTACATTCGTATACCTTGAGATTGTTCTTCCTGAAGATGACCAGGCCTACTTCTGTGGCCGCCCTTCGACGATGGCGCTGCTAAACAGTGTTATACTCTTGCTTTCCTGGGAGATGTTTGTCCTATTTGATTTTATATTGCTAGGTAACATGGGGTTTTGTGACATCAGATATCATGATGTGGAAGAGATTCCAGACGTTCGGTTGACCGAGGTGTTAAATCAATTGAGGTTTCATCGTATAAGAAGTATTTTAACGCCACTTATCGCTTGGATATGGTTTTGGATCTTTGCGAGTTCGCCTGTGGCCCGATTTTCGAGTTGTCATGGGAAAGGAATATGCTCGGCAGAGGGACTAGGGGGGGGGGGGGGGGGGGGGGGGGGTGAGAACAATACCGCAAATGCCACCGCTGTTGCATTTGTTGATTCTACCTCGCATGTCCTGCTGGGAGCAATTAAAAATGCTACTAATGCCACCATGAAAGCTCTCATGGACGCTGCAGCTCAGGATTGAATGGCGCAACACTGCTTTGTTGAGGGCTTTCCGAATAGTTGAATCATTGCAGACACAAGGCCTTGAATATAAATTCTATGAAACTTCTCGTTAATTTACACTGACATCTATCCAACTCCCATGTTCCGCACTTATACAATAAATCATGCGAGGTTACTTGGAAATAATGTCGTCACCTCAATCTTTCAATGGGTCTCCCTTCTCTCACCCGTCCGATTAGAAACCAAGCACAACTAGCCCAACACATACCAAAACCAATCCAATTGGAAGCTGGCAGCTTGAAACCAGCCATGATTGGCAGTAAGAATGCAGCTCTTGGCACAAACAAAAAGCTTGTCGTAAGGGGACCAGTTGCTCTAGTCAATGCGATTGTGCACCAAAATACTGCCCATGATCCAGTGCCGCCACAAAGAACCATCAACCAATGAAAGAATACATCCAGGAAATAGCAATTGCGATAGACGTCTGGCAGTTCACCAGACAAGAGGAGAATAGGAATGAAAATGAGGATGGAGAGAAGGGATGTATAGTGTAGCAGACGCCAGTATGCTCGATTTTCTTCGCGAGAACCAGAGAAGTCGGATGGGCCGTTAGTGGAAGCAAAACCTCCTATGAGATCACCTTGAGGAACAAGTTGAGCGACAAGCGCTTTATATGTACGTTGGATCTGAACAGGATATAACGCAACAAAAATGGACGAAAAGACTCCAGCAACTATACTTTCCCATGGAGCACGAAGACCAGCCTTCATCGTGCCTAGTAGCAGAAACAGAGTAGCAATCAAAGCTGATGAAATAGTGGATGCAGAATGCTGTTGTTGTCCAAGGATCGCAGTGAATAGTAGAGAGAATGGAATAATTCCAATCCGAGCCATGACATATATGGAAAGTTCGGCGTAAGCGAAAGAGATATTGCTCAATATAAGTTTCACCACAAAAATAATGGCGAGGGGCAAGACTTGCCGAGCGATAGCATAGTCAAATTCGAACAGCCCACCACCAGCAATACCTCCGGAACCTGCAGATGACAACCTTCCCAGGGTCGAAAGTAATCCTTGTTTCTTTCTCTCTCCTCTAAACCCTGGTAAGTTTGAATTATGTAAAGGTGTACTTGGCGCAACCGCACTCGACACGCCAGCAGTGATACACACTGGACTTGCTAATCTTGTAAGGAATGCCGAAAGCCATAAAAATCCGTGGGTAATCAACAATTCGATGAATGTAGTCGTTAAAGGCCAGGGAAACTTATAAACTCCGGCTAATAAGATCATAAGCTTAGTATATGAAGTATAATTTTCTTGTAGGTACCCACTCCAAAGAACTATTCTGTTCATGACAGTTAGACCTATGCCACAACCCCCTAGCCAAAATACCAGAACTCCGACATAAAACCGCCAGCCTAGTGTTGTGTTGAAGAGAAATTGACCCAGTCCTCCACTGTAGAGCGCATATCGCCAACCTGTGTATTTTGGTTCTACCCCGGAAAGAATAGGCCGCCTGGATGATGTGCCCCAATTATCGTATTCTTCGTCGCTTTCTGAGGTCGGGTCAGGACCCGAGGCAGCTCTTGGGCGATAAGGGGAAGGACTTCTAGATATATTTATGAGCGGGATGGATGGATGAAGTTCAGATGAAGTCGTTGCATTTCGAGAAGACATCTTGTCGTCGCTCTCCCCATCCGAGTCCAAACTACTGATTGAATAACCTTTTCGATGATTCGAACGAGTTCGCGGTAAATTTGAATTCGCAGTATTGATAAGGTATTGGAGCGCGGGTCGAAATGGGTTTGGGGTATCGGTGTTGCGAGCTGAGAACATGGTATTAATTAAATATTAAATAAAAGGAGAGAACAGTTGTTGCATGCCTTGTGTAAAAGAGTGAAGTGTCAAATATATGTGTGTAATGTCAATGAAATATACAAATAAACTTCATTGAGACTGTTCGGATTCTATGTTACATTTATAGACACGACACAAATTCCTCCCCTTTCATTAAAATTGGAGACGTCGTCGTCGTCGTTGTTGTCGTACTCAGGATATGCGAATCTGGTGTCAAATTAAAATGATCAATTCGGATTAATCGGATTCAATTGATCTGAACCCTTGCTGTCGATCAATTGTGCTTGGTATTGATGACTACTCGAATGGTTCACCCGCCAAACTTTTGGAACGGAGAAAACGTTTTCGCCGAGTCACGTGACCATGACTGTCTCTCGATGGCTGAGGTAATCCACAATTATTCGAGATCTGGAGCGAGATTGAGTCAAGGTTACTAATAATGAGGTAAATATATTTCCAAAAACATGCCACTATCTTTTCTCTCTTTTTGTGTTCTTCGCCTCAATTTTTGATCAATGGCTTCAATATTACCAGGACTACGAAAGGTTACTCCTAGGTTATCTAGGGACTTCTTTATATGTCATCAATGTTTGAAACAACCTCGTCCTACATTGCGACAAACAAAGTTCCCCGCCAAATCCATATCTTCCCGCTCAATACGGTTCAATAGTAATATAGCTACAATTACTGAATCTGCCAATGGAGCCTCTCCGTTGAGTTCGCTGGCTGAATCATTGAGCAAATCAAGTCAAGCAATAAACAAAGAATCATCGCGAAGCAGATTTCCGGAAACAAGTTCAAAATCAGTGGGTTATTGGCTATTAGGAAGTGCTGCAAGTGTATTTGGAATCGTTGTATTCGGAGGTCTCACGCGGTTGACAGAGTCTGGGTAAGTGTGATATGGCGAAGATTCTTTTATCTGTTTTGTCGATTTTTCTGGTCTGCCAATGCAATCATTTAGAGCGTTTTGCTGATTCCCCTCAAGTCTTAGTATCACAGAATGGAAACCTGTCACTGGATCTCTTCCACCTCTCTCTGCCGCAGACTGGGAGAGTGAATTTAACTTGTATCGAGCCTCACCTGAATTCAAGCTTCTCAACCCACATATGACTATGGCAGAATTCAAAAAGATATATTTTATGGAGTGGTTTCATCGATTATGGGGACGATTTATTGGACTCTCCTTTGTTGTCCCTGCGGTCTACTTCGTCGCCCGTCGTAAAGTCTCAAAGCCTATGGCTCTTCGTTTATTGGGAATATCGGGACTCATTGGCTTTCAGGGAGCTATTGGTTGGTGGATGGTTAAGTCAGGATTGAAGGACGATCTTTTCGCCCCCGGCTCTCATCCCCGCGTTTCTCAATACAGGCTTACCACACATCTCGGCACTGCTTTCATCTGTTACACTGCAATGCTTTGGAACGGTCTCTCAATTCTTCGCGATCGCAAACTTTTATTCAACTCTACACCCGCTCAGGCGCATGCTCATCTCCTTCGTCTATCTTCGTCCTCACTATCAGTATTCCGTAAGTCCGTTGCTGGTCTTGCTCTCCTCGTCTTCACAACAGCTATGTCCGGTGGATTGGTTGCGGGTCTTGATGCTGGCCTTATATATAACGAATTCCCTCGAATGGGCAAGGGTTTCGCGCCACCAAAGTCCGAACTATTCTCCGAATTCTATTCCAGACAACCGGATCGTAGTGATTTGTGGTGGCGTAATATGCTCGAGAATCCATCAACAGTGCAGTTGGACCACCGTATACTAGCATCCACTTCGTTTACTGCTATTCTCGCCCTCTGGGCATATTCACGCTTCAACCCTAGAGTTAAAGCTGCTCTCCCAAAAAGTGGAGCAAAAGGAATGCTTGGTGTAGTTCATCTTTTGATGATGCAAGTTACTTTGGGTATTAGCACTCTGATATACTTGGTACCCACTCCACTTGCTTCTGCCCATCAAGCTGGAAGTCTGGCATTATTGACTGGGGTCGTCGTTTTGGGTAGTCGAGTCTGGATCCCCAAAAGAACCATGGCTATTTTGAGACGAAAGCTGGCATCACAAAGTCCACAAGCTGCTAAGGTGAAGTTCGCAAGCCGGATGTCACCGCTTGCAGCAAAAACTTCTTAATGCCGAAGTTTTTAACTGTATATTTGAAAGGGATGGATGTAAAGGTGTTTGGGAAAAAGGAGAAAGGCGTACAGTTAAGCTCATCTCATGTTTAGACTATTAGCCTCTCAACTCTGTATATCAATTTGATGAATTATGAGTATTCATCCTACGTCTATGAATATGAGTCTTTGTTGCTCAACATCACTAAATTAATCGCTACTTCCCCCTTTTTATTTCGCGAACATTTGATCATCAACGAGATACATGTGTCATTATCACGATTGAGGATGATCCATTTCCACACGAAGAAAGAAATAAGAATTGTCATTTGTTGAAAATAGACAAGATCAGATGCTGTATTAACACGGTCGCGTGCGTCCTTGAGTCCGCCCAACAAAACCACCCTGATTCCCACGGCGATAAAACCCCTTGTTCCCTCATCTCGTCCACTTCCGACTGAGCAGTCAATGAATTTATGTCCCTTTACTTGCTACTATCTGTATATGTGTAATAATATCCATCATCATCCACCTCCTCGTCGCGTTTTGAAACTTCCGCCGTTGAGACCCCGTTGTTGAAGAATCCTCTCTTGGCCTTTGAGGAATCTGATACGTCGTTGTTGTTGAAGAATCCCCGCTTCTTTTTTGAAGCATCTGATGCATCTGCATTGTTGAAAAATCCTCGTTTCACATCTGACCCTGCATCGTTGTTGTTGAAAAATCCCCGCTTCACCTCTGATTCTACATCATTGTTATTGAAGAAACCCCGAGGAACACCAGCTTCACGTGCGGCTGTCACATCGATATTAGTGGAATAGAAATATAGGATGGGCGATAGGCATACCAAGTGAGCTGGATTCAATGATTGGGGCTGCCATGATGGCGATGACCAGCGTGGCTGATGCAAACAAAAGGATTGGAAATGCATGATGGTGGCGAATTTGCGGCGTGAGGTCGTTTTGTGTGGACGGTTGTTCTTCGATAAGGCTGCTTATTCTGAGGTTTTCTTGACCTAGCTGACCTTTTTGATAGTTTTACTGGCTGACAGATGAGAGGGGTTTTTTATAGCAAATTCTCTGACATATGATCCTCCCACAGTCCATCTAGTCCGGTAGTAGTTCATTCCCGGTCTTGTTTTCTATCCTCACGGTGTCGGAACTGGTGTCAAGAGTCTCATCGGGTTGCTTGACTGCTTGAGTGAGGGGTACACTTATCACCTCGCACAATATACAAAGGGGTATGAAGGATATCACAAGACATGATTCTTCCATCGTCCAATGAATTGCGATCTAGCGTGTTGTTCGCACTTTCACTTTTCTCTTTTTAACAGAGAAGTCGACTTGCATTGCCGTTCCTCCGGACATAGCAGTATTCAAAGCCATTCATCAAATTGGGCACCTGTATTTATGAGGGAATCGGCCAGATGAATGGTGGAATAAGGTTACAACCACTTTATTCGCCGAGTCTAAACAAGCCGGTAATCACACGATGGTCTGGCCGAGTAAATGATTGTGGACTCTGGAACATAGGTATGGAGCCACTTTAGCAGCGGTGAGAAAACGGCCATACATATTGTGGTGCGCGAGATGTGATGTAAATGCATGTTAGATGCGCATGATTTTGAACTAAGTATTGCACAACAGAAGCGATCATGATACTTTAGATCTGCTCTACAGCATCACTTGTTTCTAAGAGAGCTTTCGGATCGTTTTCGGGGAGGACTTTCTCGTTCCAACCTCTTTTGAACGTTTGTGGAGAGTACGCGTATCCCTTTTAGTTTCCCGATGTTCAAGGGGTAAGGGAGTAATTGCAAAAAATGTTTTTTTTACTTGCTTGACATTGGATTCACAAATCAGAATCGCTTATTAAACCACTATTCACGCGTTGCTAAAAAATTGTCAAGATATTCCTCAATGATGCTATAAGAGGTATTAGGATGGATGGTTAATCATCTTCAAGTGTGCAGATTTGCGATTAAATTCCGTAATCAAAGTATCTTGCACTCAAAAATCGTGAGTGCAAATAACGAGAACATTGATAGAGTTAGAATATCAACCATCTAACTAGTTGCCTCAAATGACTCAACGCTCAACTTCCACAGCTCTTCAGGGTCCTTGCATTGCCTCTCCATCATCCCGTCGACATTCTCCTTGCCTTTTGAATCAGCTTTTGGTGGCTCAAGTGTTCCATCAGCCGTGCATAGTACTGTCTAGAATTTTGGTGTGAAGTCAGTGCTAGGTTCTTCAGTCTTTTATAGAAAGACATTATATCCCATGATATCCTAATTTGTTCCATACGCAACAGCTATACTCTCATACAAACATCGGAGCAATTTCTCCGCCAATCAAAATATATGACCTCCAGGTTTGTTTCCAAAGTCCCCAAAGAAGTCAAGAAGAATGTGAATGAGAACTGTACATACCTGTCTCAAATAATCAAAACAATGCAACCAATGTAGTGGATCCCCATGTTCCATGTGACCAAAATCATGACCATGCCCATGACCCCCTCCTGCTCTTTTCTTCTGTTCCCTCCTCATCTTGCTCTCCCTCTCTTCATCGTCTTCCATCTCTTCATCATCTTCCCTCTTTCCCATCTTCAACTCCGCAACTTCCATCTTCAACTCCTCCATCTCCCTGAACAATTCCTGTACTCCTCCCCTCATGATTCCCAAGCAGTGGAGAGAATGAAACATAGTTATTCCATATTTATGTTTCTTCCTATTTTGCACTTCACCTTTCTTTCCTTCCGTATTTTCTTTCCCATTTGACTTTATATCTTCGTCGTAAACCCTCAAAAATCCTCCATTTTGTGGAAGTAATTCATCCCAAAGATGATCGTATTCATGAGAAAGATTCTCATATGTCGAATGTTCGGAGAACAGAACGATTTTAGAGAGAGGTGATGAGGGGTTGAGGGATTCGGGAATAGAGGGTGTGGATGAAGATGAAGGGGAGATATGTGAATTAGATGAAGAAGGGGGGGAGACAAAGGACACAGAGGATGTTTGAAGAAAATATATAAGAGTTGTGAGGATGATTATTAGGAAGAGGAAGGAGATGAGGAGGGATGAAGATTGTTTCGTAGAGGTGGAGCGGGGTGTCAACATTTTTTTCGACCTCTTTTGTCTTTTGTCTGTCTTATTTCATAGTGTTTGGATTTCTCTCTCAAATTTGCGATGCAGCGTAAAACTGCAATAATAATCGAAATCCAGCATTCTATCATTTTTCGATTATGTATATCTGTGAAGAAATACTAGAGTCCGCTATCAGTACATGTCACCTTCCTATAAAACTCTAGTCCCCGAATGCCAAGCGATGAATGTCTTGGCACCTGCCCTTCGGGTAAATTGCTGGACTACCTTTTTCGGGTGTGTGAGATATGCGAGTGATCCCTACTCGGTATTTGCTTGTAGGACGGTAGTTAGCTGTACTTGTTAGACACTGCAAGATCTTGGACCTGTTGTGGAGGAAGTGATATGTACCCCACTATTTGCAGAGCTGTTTTCGGAATTGAGATGATTAGCGATGGAGGCGATTGAGGCGATGGATCGTTGAGGTAGTGGAAGGTTTGCTCATGATTATCGTGAATTTCAGATGTAAAGTAACCGATATCCCTACATCGTGCACGTCCCTGTATCGTGCACGCTTTTTAGCTTTCAAAAACATCAATATCACCATCTAAATATCGCAATAATATGTCTTCAGAAAGCCATATGAAGCTTGTGTTAGATTATATTAAAAGCCAAAAATGTTTCTAAATATATTCAGATAGCTTATTTATACAGAGTCGATTATATTATACTCTCAAAACGATATAAAGGCAAAACCATTTCCTACAAGATAGACTATACCGATACACACCAATATCTTTTATTAAATTAGAAGGAAACTTTATTAGATTAGATTAACAAATTAATACAAAGATCTATACTTCCTATAAGTGTTATAATTAAAAACTTAATAGAAGAAATAAAAGAATGCTTTGTAGAGAAGAACTGAATGGCTAATTTTATTAAATAATATAAAAGTCGTATTCAAAGTCGGTATCTTTATTATATTGATAATTTGTATATCAAGGCTAATATATGAATATGTTTAAATACTTTATAATCTTATTGGTACTATTTTATATTATTGTTGATTTATATTATTTAAAAAAGCTTTTATTAATTTTTCTCTTTTATTTATTTAATTAATAAAAGTAATTATAAATATTGTCACGGGTTCACTAGCGTAGTATATTAGCATAGTGGATGCTTAGTCATCTTTGCCATTATATGGCAAAGTTACATCATACCACTTTCAAACCTCTTTATAGAATATCATATATCCAATCTAGTACCTATCCCTTACATTGTGATAGTATATTCTACCTTCTTAAAGGTCCCGTTGCTATACATCAATAGCAATCCGACCTTGACAATAATATTCTGATAGAGACTTCGTCTTCGCCTTTATCTTCATCCTCATCTTCATCTTCATCCTCGTCTTTATTTTCGTCCTCATCTTCATCTTCATCCTTATCTTTGTCTTTGCCTTTAAAATAATGGATATATCTGGTTTATTGTTTGTAAAAAATAGAGTTTAAATATTCGATAATCTTAAAACAAATATTCGAACTGTTTTTACTGAATAGTAATAACTCACAAATAAACTTTCAAACATCTTCAACCCCGATTTTCGAAACCTAACACTCAGCCTGTTTGAGGATGAATAATTATATTTATATTATTTATGTAGTGTTATTAATAATTCATTAGAGTTATTTCATAATATATAAATTAGAATAGACATAGATCTGAACAACGAGCATATAGCCCTAGCCGACATACAAATTTACTTACAAACCCAAATACAACTAAATATAATATTATAAAACCAACTTTCCCAATTACTACAAAACACATTAGCCTAGATCCTCAACTCACCTGCTAATATTCAGCGATAAATCTTCAAAAACCCGGAAACCTTTAAAGGAGAGAAAACTAATGTAATAACACAATAGAATAAATATCTAGCTTGGAAATAAGGATTATAAATCTACTGGATATCTAATATCATTGTATTTGATATTGAGAAGAAGAAACTTTTGTATATAGCCTTTTTTATTAGAGAATATGCATATCAAAAACGATTAAAAGATATTGATAACATTTTATAAAATAATTCGGTCTATACAACCGCCAATTCGTTTTTCAAAAAGCTTGATAGCCTTTATATTACAATTGACTCCAAGCGGGAAGCAGCGATTCAGTTTGATAAACTCAAGATATTAGAGAAACAGGCTTTTGCAATATTTTATATATAGTTGGAATATTTAGGTAATCAATATTACAAATCTAATTGAGAGATGGTTCTTGCTTTAAAGCAAAAAGTTTCTGAAGAATTAAAACTTATGGTTTGTATGGATTCAAGTCTTTGTGTATTAGATGATATTGAAGGATGAAAAAAGAAATTCATAATTTAAAGCCAGAATTGCTGGGAGAATGATTATTATAATATAGGTTTATCAAAAAACAATCACAATCAATCTCGATTCAATATAATCCCTTTTACATTTGTTACCGCTTTATATAGTGATCTTATAGAGCTCGATATAGTCAAATTCCAAAACAAGGTATAACAATGCGAGAAGGAGCGCTGTCTCGGTCTTTGCCATTATTATAAGAAACCAGATCACTTTATTTGGAATTGTAATACGAAAAAACAAGCCGATATATAGCAAGTGGCTAGAGAATACAATATAGGACCTCTAAGAGGAATATCAGAATACAATCACAATAATGCCGGAAGAGGAAACCAACAATTCGGCCGAGACGGACAATATCGAAGCAATAGCAATCACAATCAGAATGACTTTCGGGAATATGGCCATCAACAATAGCTCTACATACAATAACAGCTTAATATAGTTCATGGCTATATCGAGAATGGTTTTTTTAGTATCCTCGGAAAGTGCTTCTAATATCTCTCCACACAACAGTACAATATCACCATCACCGTCCAACAGCATATACGAGTTCCCGGGAAATGTATCACCTTCGTAATAAGTCGGCTGTGGAGGTTATCAAGAAACGAGAAATGGATAAGATATACTATAAATAGTACTAAGCCGTTATAATTTAGCTTTATAAATAGCAAATCTCTACTTATCCAAATTACTATATTTCTAATGTATACTTCCCTTTTTAATATGACTAGTTTGATTAATAGCAAATACTCCAATAAAGTATTTGCTAATTGATTATTTATTAATTAATATAAAATTTATATTTAACTTTTACTTTATTGTTGATAGCTTTGCTTAACCAACAGCAATATAGCAGATATTATTACAAAATACTTTACTATGCTTATAGTAATAGGATTATATTTAGAAACCTGGATATTCTTTATACGAAACTTTTTCCTGATATACTAGTTATTTTGGCTTGTTATGGTTATAATGCCATAATCTGTATATAGATTAAGCGAATATAACACTTTCTTTACTTCTCGATATTATATATGTAGTATTGTTTATAAGGGAAGCTTGTGCCCTCAAGTATCTATAATCAAATCGATCCAGTAATAATCTAATAATATCTCAATCTTCAAAGTATTGATTCAAAAACCAAAAGAGTCTTGGACATGTTATCACCAGAAAGATTATCTCCCAAAAAGCTTATAAAACAAAAGATTATCAATCACTATATATAAAAACAATACAAACTTAATAATAATTATGAATCTAAAAGACCCTGATATAGAACAAGATTGCCTATTTAAAGCAATGCTTTACCTTTGATGCAAACCATTATTGTATAAGAGTCTGTAATAGGAATACAGATATATAAGTATAGATAATACAAAATCAGTCGAAGATATATCTAATAGTAATAAACAAGATCGCAGAAAAAGATAAAGAAAACCAAATTCAATAAGGGAATTATTATTATCCCTTTAATATTATTATCAATAATTCGAGAATATAAAATAAGCCTAAATATAAAGAACATCGATAATTACATACCTCGAGCTTTATTTCTTTTTATCAACAAAACAACATTTGTGTAATGCAAGTCATTTGGGACAAGTTAGATTAGACTATAGTATTCAAATATAAGTTTCGATTATGTCCTCTATAAATAACTTTACCAAAAAATGAGCAAAGTTATAAAAAATATACTTTAGGGATATAGTAGTCTAATAAAAGTACTTTCTATAATACTATTATACTTATATAACTTTATTCGAAATTACTATAAACCAACTTATCTATAAAGGATCTTAAGGCTAATATATCAAATTTTTAGTAGGAAAATCAGATCTTAGTAATAAAGAGATATAAACACATTTCCTAATTAGCTTCGAGATAAATTACTAGTTTTCCTTTCTCGAAATGCTGAGGTATTATCATTACGACGAGCTTGGGATTATAGAATCGAACTAATACTAGGTAAAGAATTATCTTATTTCAAAACCGGCTATTATCATTATTGGAACTCGAGGTAGTTTGGAAGTGGATTGATAATAATCTCTCTAAAGGATTTATTTGGAAATCAAAATCTCATAGTACAGCACTACTCCTTTTAGTAGTAAAGCCAGAAGGCAGAGTCCGTATCTATCAAGACTATCGAGAATTAAATAATATTATAATAAAGAATTGCTACCTTTTACTTATTATACGAGAGACTCTTAATACATTGTGCAATATTAAGGTTTATTTCAAATTGGATATTATTACTGTCTTCAACAAATTGCATATTATAGAAGGAGATGAATAGAAAACAGCTTTTATTATACGTTTTGGGTTGTTTGAATCCCTTGTTATATCCTTTAGGTTATGCAATGCACTAGCATCTTTCCAGTATTATATTAATTATATGCTTTTCAATAAACTCGACAAATATTGTATAGTATATCTTAATAATATTCTTATTTATTCTAGTAATAAAACAGAACACAGGGAGTATATACGAACAATTGTTCAAAAACTTGTTGATGCAGGTTTATAGATTGATATTAATAAATACGAATTCGAGATAATATCTATACAATATTTAGACCTAATTATTATTACAAACAATATCAAATGAATATCGATAAAGTCAAAACAATTATATCTTGAAAGCAATCCCTCTCGATAAAGGACCTATAATGTTTTTTAGAATTTGCTAATTTCTATTAATAATTTATAAAAGACTTCTTAAAGATTTATTATCCTTTGAATAACTTGTTATACAAGGATATCTCCTGGATATAAGATCAAAACACATAAGAATACTTTCGAAACACTAAAACAGGCTTTTACAATTATATCTGTCCTTATATATTTTGATTATAACAAACATACGATTTTAG